ATACAGGCTTCTTCACCATGGCAGCCCTATCAGCCCTCCACCAACGCAGTGCTGCTCCAGGCAGGCTACCCCTCAACCGGCAGCAGTGTAAGGGCACAGCAAAATAATTAATTTGAGGGATTGCTAATCAGCTTTATCTGACCTAATTAGCTCCCCCCAGGCACCATGCAGAACTGTAGACAGTCTGTGGCTGAGCCAGCCTATCCAGGGCTGGCACCTCCACCAGGGGCCTGGGCAGAGAGCTCAGCTGCCTGGCAGACAATGAGCAGCTCTGCCCAGCACCAGGCTCTGCCCAGCATGGGCGGAAGACACCTGTAGTCAGAGACGGCTTGGCCCCCACACCCTCCCTGCAGGCTGGCCTGGCACCAGTACTGAGCTATCCCACTGGGTCTCCATTGGGCTGAAGCTGTCCCAGAACAGCATGGAGAGGGTCTGGGGCTCCTGCCAGCCTGGGCAGGGCAGACAGGGCCTGGCAGGACAGTTTCAGGAGGGACTAAGATTTACCCCAATCCAGCCAATCTGTGGTCTGGGGCTGTTCCCAGTGGGAGTCTGAAGTGCTGTCTTGATGGTCTAATGAGGGTACCCTGCCCCCATGCCCTGCTTTCCCTCCAATTCTGGCTCCTTTACAGGCAACAAACTGGCCCTGCTTTTGCTGGAAAGGTAACAGCACAAACCCAATGGCCTATTTATCCCAGGAAAACAGAGATGCCTTTCCCCAGCTCTTCCCCCACCCACCACCAGGCCTGACCATGTAGCACGGGCACCCACAGGAGCCAATCCTGCCTGCTGAGGATTGCCTGCCTGCCCTCACCTGTGAAGTGCTGGCGGCAGATGCAGGTGTAGCCGCCCTCTTTGCGGGTACAGACACCACCATTGCGGCAGGGGTTGGAGTAGCACAGGTTGATCTCAGTTTCACAGTAGTCCCCGGTGAAGCCCTGGGGGCAGCGGCAGCGCAGGCCTGTGATGGGGTGGATGGGCCGGAAGAGGGTGGATGGGGAGGCAATGAAGGGGGCTGAGCTATCGAACTTGAGTACGGAGATGCACTTCATGTAGTTCTGGCAGGGCTCCCGCAGGCAGACATTGTCATCAAAGGGCAGCACCTCCAGCATGGAGGCTGCTGTCAGTGCCATGCGCTTCATGTACAGCTGCTCCTGCAGCTCCTCAGAGCTGAAGAAGTGCCGGCCGCGGGGCGCCAGTGCCGAGAAGCTGACGTTAAGCACGGCCCCCCCCACGTCCGTGTCATTCTGGATGTTGAAGATGAAGACGTCCTCCTTGGGTGTAGCCAGCACGGTGGCCACCCCCTCCAGGAAGCTGGTGAGCAGCGGGGACAGGAAGCGCTCCTGCCACATGTTCTCCAGGCGCACCGTGATGCTGTTGGCCAGCATGTCCTCTGTGATGATGATGACGCGCAGGACGCACTGGGCCGTCACGCTGTGGATCCCATCTGCAGAAGGAAGCAGGGAAGCATTAGAGCATCACTGCTGCTTGATAGGCACAGAGCCCCTGACGGAGCTCCAGTAGCAACCGCAGTGCCCCATCTCCCACCCCTGCCTTGGCCTATGCCCTACAGGAACCCAATTCCCAGTGCGCAGAGCAGAGGCTGGACAGCAGTTTCTGCTACACTAAGCAGTGGAGGATGTGACTGGTTTGGTGACACCCTATTACAGACGTAAATCACAGAAATCATAGAGACGTTGGGCTGGAAGGGACTTCCAGAGAGAGGTCACCTAGTCCAAGCCCCTGCCTGAGGCTGGATCGGCTCCATCCAAACCGTCCTGTATGAATCCATAACCTGACCTCTTAGTAAATGTGCTGAATGCTGCCCTTTAACTGCAATGTCTTGGCATGTGTGGGAGCAGACTGGGTGCTCAGGGAGGGGGAGGCAAGAGTGACAGCTGGAGGTGAGCACAGACACCCGGGCTGCCTAGGCAGAGGTAATACACTGAATAAGGAGCCAGCCTGGGGGGTCTTGAGTTCTCCGGGCAGCGGGAAGGGTCTGAGCCAGGGGTGGGCAAAATGCAGCCCAGGGGCCAGGTGTGGCCTGCCAGGCCATTTTATCCAGCCCACGGGGCCTATAAAAAAATTTAGAAAATTAATATTTATCTGCCCCCGCCTGCCTGTCACGTGGCCCTTGATGGCTTGCCAAAACTCAGGAAGTGGCCCTCCACCCGAAATAATTGCCCGGCCCTGGTCTGGGCGCTTGGCCTGTGGATGCTGTGACAGTTTGTCCTTTCTGCCTTTCCTTCCTCTTTCTGGGGTCTCCAAGACTTGATGCCTGGTTCGCTGCTTCCTCCCTTCACACCATCTGCTCTCATCTTGCTCCGCTCTTCCTTCCGATACTCTTTCCGCTTGTTTTATTCTCTTTTATCTTACTCTTTCTAAAGAACAAGTCCCGGTCTGCCACCCCCGCCATCCTATTTGTCTCCACCCCCCAGAACCTGCAGTCTGAGAGCACAGTCACAGGCACGCAATGTGCATACCCGGCCAACTGCCCCCTCCCCCATACCCAGGCTGCCAGTAGCTGGTCCAGAGCTTCCCCTCTTATCACACTCCCACAGCCCCATCCTGCTCCAGTATGGCAATACAGAGTGCCTCCCCCAGACCTCAGGTCCCCAGGGCCACCTGAGGATGAAGGCATGGTTTAAGCAGGACTCCCTTCAAGGGATGTCAGGGAGAGAGCACAGCTCCAGCTGCCAGGACCCTGAACCCTGTCCTCCCTGCAGCAGGATTCTGCCCTGGGCAGTGAACACAAGGGCACAGTCTGGCTCCTGCATCTGAGACCTGGAGAATCAGCTGAATCCCACAGTGACTTGCACAGCCACTAACATGCTACAGAGCTCAGTACATAGGCTTCCCCCATGCTATCCAAAGGCAGCTGGCTCTGGGGTGGAACAGCCATACTACATAGCAATACTACACAAGCAGTGGGCGGTGGGGGTGCTGAAAACACAAACGCTCCAGTGACGGCCATGCAGACAAGATGCAGAGAGATCAGCCCACGTTGCTACGCTTGGCCACAGGGGAAATGCAGCTACCTGCAGGGTAACAGGGCAGCAAAGCTAAGGCCTGAGTCCAGCCAATGCGCTCCAAGCTCTCTCAGCCCAGGGAATGCCCAGGCCCAGATCTGCTGTCCCTCGGACTCTCCTGTCCAGCTTCAAGCCTCACTGGCTCTAGGGCACCAGATGTTCCTTGAAGAGGATTGGAGTTTTGCTGGTGACTACTTCTAATCTGCTCCAGTTCTGTGCACATGGGGCTGAGCCACAGGCTTTGCTGGGAAACAGCCCCATGCCCCATCCGGGGAAGTGTCAAAGGTATTCATTGCCTTGTTGCACTTCCTGCATTCTTCCCGGCTTCCAGCCACACTCCTGACCAACCCCAGTTATGCACTGGCCCCTTCTCTTCATGAGTAATCCCACTCCCATGCCCTTCCTGCCCGTGCACAGGCTCCTCCTCTCCTGCACTGTAGGGTCCTCACAGCAAGGAGCAAGCACTAGTGATGCCAAGCAAGGCATTGAGGGAACTGAGGATGCTGCAGAAACACTTCATCGCAGCCATGAGAAGCCCTGCTGACAGGACAATGTGTCTGCAGGCCTGACAGGCAGTCACCTGGGAGCAGCCTGTCGCTTGTCCTACCCGCCTCCGCAGGGCTGTTCTGAACCTGCGTGCCCTTCCAGTCGGTGGCTGCACTGCTGAGCTGCGACATGAGCTCAGTCTATCACAAAGCCTGGAAAACTTGGGACCAAAAAGGATGCTTTCTTCAGAAACCTGGCTCTGAGGCCAATACCACATAGGTCAATGCTCCCACTAACCCCCGTGTTCAGGGGTGCAGAAAGGGTGCAGCTGGGGAAGGTGGCTCCCACCTGAGACAAATCTCTCACAGCCCTGCCTGAAGCATCAAGGCCCTTTGAATATGCCAGCACTGGAAGGGTGCTGGGAAATGACAGATCTGATTCCCAGGAAAGACCTGCAGACACAGTCCTTCCTTCCAGCCCCTCCTTTCCCACTTCGGTGCAACCATCTGCCAAGCACCACGGGGAAGAGCCTTGCCCCAAGAAAGAAGGGGCACTGCACAACCCCTGGGCCCAGTGTCTGACAGGGAAAGGGGCCTTGTCCGGTCTCCCTCATGGGGGTACAAGGCATTTTCATTCTCGGCTATAGCTCACATTACTCATGCCAAGGGCCATCTTGGGGGTCAGGACTCAGAACAGGTATGTGGGGAGGGGGGAGCTCAGATTTCTGACAGCGCTCAGGGTTCAAAGAGCACATTAGTCTGTGCAGGGGAAGCAGAGATAATTGAGCAGATTTATGACACCTTTTGCCACCATGAAGCAGACAAGTCACACGGCCTGGGGGAGCTCCCCCAGCCCCCTTCCTACTCCCTGTGCCACACCAGGGAGCTTGGGGGATTCTCCATTTCCTCCAGCCAGGACCTACTACAGCCCCCAGGAGGGCACTTGGGTTCTTCAAGAGGGACAGAAATGAGCACTGGCCACTCAGTGCAATGCTCAGAGACTGACTGGGTCTGCAGGTCCCTCAGGACACTTATGGACATCATGCTCTGCAAAGGGGACAAGTCTCCATTCCAGAAGTGAACCTGGTGAGTGCAGGGTCCTACTGGAACCCCATCCCCCTCATAACTCACACCAGCAGCAAAACCCACATCAACATGCCAGCTGCACTCAGAGGAAACAGAGAACATGCCAGGGACTGACCTCCTCTTGGAAATATGAGCTTGCATGAACAGGCCACAACCCCTGCCAGGCCTTGCAACCTCACAATGCACCAACACTTTGCTCCCAGCATCTTGTTGGCCTGGGTGCTGGGCCCACTGTGT